AAAAAAAAAAAAAGTCCTAATATTTACCTTTATAACTTCTTTTATTTCAGCACAACTATTGTGCTTAATGGGAAAATATACACTTTCAAAAGAGAGGAGCATCTGAATGTATTTTATCAAATAATGAGCTTTCTAGTATTTCAATTTACAGTACACTTCAGTTTTAGGTTATTAAGAATATTCAGTTGGTCCAAACTGGGTTTTGAGAGTTCAGTACCATGATTTTTGTTCACTAATGCAAAATAAATGTTTATACTGATTTCAGTTTGACAAAATGGCAAACATAACTGCTTTAATTTTTTTTAATATAAAACAGACCCATAAATCAATTTAATTCAGCCTAGCTTTCTGTGGAGCTGTTATAAAAATGAAATGGTAAACTGAAACTAGACATGGCATAGATTTTTCTCTAAACATGCATTTGCTGGTGGCATGTTATCTCCACTTTTTCCATAACCATTAGAAACGTACATGTGAAACATAGGAAATTAAAAGTCTTGGAGAATCACTTACTCGGCTACCTTTCTCATAGGAAAAAAGGCAAGAAAAGGCCACGCATTTCATACAAGTACTCCACTGCATGTAACGATGATGTTTTACATGATGCTTCGATCTCTTTAAACTACATGAATGTGAAACCTGGCCTGGTTAATAGCATGTTTATCGTATCTCTGAAAGAAGCAGTTTTATCAAAGCCAAACATGATACCAAGTTGACATTTTCTTTGCAACGACTTTACATTTTTTGCTTGCAATATTCTGAGGGGCTTCTTCCATTGCTTCCATGTTGCTTGCTGGTTGGGGAAAAAAAAATTCCGTGCACAAGTGGAATTTTAAAAGTTATCTAAGCAGCAAATGTGAATGTGTGTCAGACAAACGGATTTCCAGCATCTTTGTGCTTTTGCTTCTAACAGCTTGGAAGTATAACCACAGGCCCAGGTGAATATGGGTTTCCATGAATTCACTTGAGCTCACATATAATCCATTCCCTACTCATAGGCTCTAAAGGATGATGATGCTGAAACCGGACTGACTGATGGGGAAGAAAAAGAAGAACCCAAAGAAGAGGAGAAATTGGGGAAACTTCAATATTCGCTGGATTACGATTTCCAGAATAACCAGGTATGGGGGGGGGGGGTGGAGGAAATGACTTTTAATTCCATTACATTTTCTGAAATTACCAAGTAGAAATTGAAGCAAGATACTTCCTAAAACATTTCGTTTGCTGCGAGGGGAAAATGCAATTATCAAAGCTATGGATGAAATCGAAGTACAGGCAGTCCCCTACTTGCTAATTTAACTTCTGGTAATTAGAATTCACAGTATTCAACCGATTACATCTGCTTATGGCACTTACAGCAGACAAGCAGAATACAAATGAACTTGGAAGTAGTCAGTCTGATTCTGACAGCTCCCAGCCACAGTGTCACCTCCACTGGCCCCTCAGCCTGAGCTTGAACAATCTCTCCTGGAATGTATGGAATTTAAATCCAAACAGGGTGAGGAACTATTGAAGTAAACCACCATTCAACCAAAGCTTTCAAACAAAATGTAGGGGTACCTGGGTGGCTCAGTCAGTTAAGCACCCAGCTCTCGATTCCAGCTCAGGTCATGATCTCACTCACAGTTGGGAGATCAAGCCCCACATTGGGCTCCATGCTGGGCGTGGAATCTGCTTACGATTCTCTCTCTCCCTCTACCCCACCCCCTCCTGTCTCAAAAAATAACAATAAAACAAAATGTAACTGTGTGATAAGGAATCCAAGATGAAAAACTAATTGCCTTCCATGAATTTCAAAGGCACAAATGCCTTATATAATATGATACCAGGTAAAATTCCTACCATGCATAAGCTAACCGTTCTCAAAAAGTAGAAAGACCAGCAACTTCGTTTCTAGTGCCTGTGACTTCTGCCCAAAAAGTGACAAGGAACTGAAGACAGTAATATAACAATCATTCCTGCTTCAATTTCTCAAAAAGCCACGAAGTGCCACCTAGATAAATGATAGTATTAGGTACCTTTTAGTAACCGTGTTATAGAGGTAGCTCAAAGATAAAGGTTAAAAAATCCCTACGTTAAAAAAAAAAAAAAAAAAAAAA